ACGTACCAAAGGGAGAGACAGTTCGCTATTAGCTACCAGACATGATCTCCCAGATCCGACAGCTCCTTCACCGTACCCTCGAACACTCCCAAGCCCTCCAATGGAAAATGCTTGGTAAGGAGCCATGTCCCCAACGATCGAACCGCCTGTAAGTCTGACAGAACAAGAAAGGATATAATTAATCGCATAGTCTAATGTTTATTGAGCTGCAAGAAGAGGAAATGAAAATATGGTAACTCGATTTCAGGTTGAAACTGGGGGGACCCGCGAAGCAGCAAATTACCAACCTTGTCAAGAGAAGTGTTGGTCCAAGTTTGATTCCTTTCGAAGCAGCAAATTTGAATCGGTTGAAAATTATCATCTTTGGAAGAACTGGAATACCTTGTTCTATTTGAAGATTAAACTGAAAAAACCAGGCATTTAGTCAGAGTGGGATTGATGCACAAAACGACTATTCATTTTGGTGATATATAAATTCGTTCACATAAACTACTTTGGTTCACAAAATAGGAACTAGAAAACTAACGGGAAATAAGTAGGTTTCATTACATGAAAACAGCTACGATCGTTTGCCTTTGCAAATCGAGATTCATGCTTTAACACTACCATACTGTCATGTGGACTGCCACTGCAATAAGCAATGCATATCATATCATCAAAATCAGTTCGACATTTTGAAGACTGCAATATTAAAACCCTCAGTTACCTGTAAGTCAAAGCAAACCCATCACAGTCTCTACTTATACTGCGTCCATCATCGTTAAATGGGCGAACATGCTTCACGAATCACGACAGTTCAAAATGTTAGTTTCTACTTTCTACTTTGCCTATAACCAAAACAAAAAGACAATATGAACGGATGAACCTCAAATTTTATGCTGGATGTGCTGCTCCACTTTGAACTCACGGGTTCCTTCAAGTCCATTCCGACTGATAATCTAGATAAATTTACACCTCCACTTCCCGAGCGGGAGAAATTGTTTATAGGGATACCATGGGTTCCAATCTCCGGTGAAAAAGAATGCTGCAAAACGTAAATCGACGACCACAAGTAAAATTCAATAGTTTACTACAAAATTTCACCGGAATTTGTGTGTTTCACATACTAAACGACTCAAAAGTTTATCATCCCATTCAACCCTTTGAACCATAAGTTTATTGCACACCATTGTTTTGTTTGGCATAAAAAGAACAAAACCAACCTGCATGACAAACGACTGGTGAGCACGACATTCTTGCCGTGGCCTTCTATATGCGATTAAGATATTTGAATCATACAAACCCTTGTCCCATGAAACATCAAGCTTCTCACTTCCACCAAATAAGTTCGGGTGTTTGATGCAGAGACTAATCATGAAAACATAATAAAAGCGTGTATATCAGTTACTCATTCACACAATTCTCGGAAAAACCAATACCCTCCTCAACCTATATAGCACCGATACTTCACATAAGTGACTATTTTCAATTATCCTATTTTGCTCAAATCAGTGTCAGTGTTATGTCTGGTGTCTGTCCGTGTTTCATAGCCCTCACCAATCCAATGCACATCACAAAACAATTTAACCGAGAATCTTACCTTCCAATTACTAGTGAAAGAGGATTACCGGCACTACTGTTAGAGAAAAATGCAAAATAACATTAATATATAGAAACAATAAAAAAACATATAATTTTTTGGTGAAAATAGAAAATGAATTGAGGTGAAACCAACCTGAAGGTATTGAGCATCAAAGAAGTACATAATTTGTGAGTAAAATCAACATTAACATCAATCTTTGCTGCAAAACAAAAACACAGAACAGTAAATAAAACTAAGTTATTTGAAATCGAGAAAGCAATGAAAAATGATGAAATTGAAATCTAATTTCTAACCTTTGCCAGCATGGATGCTCTTTTGAGCTCCCATCGCATTGAAAACGCATCAACCATTAAATAAACAAATTCTGAAATTCTGAAGTAACGTAAGAGGTTTCTTCTACTTTGATGGATTATATAGTGTGTATGTTGGAGACAAGACAATGTTGTGTTGCTTTAAGTTTCGTAACGTTAATCTGTGCGTGCGTGCGTGTGTTTATTCTGTTCTTAGCTTTCAACTTCTGTTATCCCTTTTGCTTCTTCGCACTCCACACACGCCCATTGCATTGCACGTGACATCGCAATGAGTGCTAATCGGGCCTTGTTGTTGTTATGATAATGGCCCAAATCTTATTTAGTTTGGAAAAGTCAATTTCTTTTCTCGCTCTTATATGTTCTCTTTAATCTCTGACGAAAAGGTATAAATGTTCTCAATTTTCAAAGATATATCTCTGGACGCATTACTTTTACATTTTGTCAAACTTTAATTTGGAGATGCATCTTCGAATGTGTTTTACGGTTTGTTCGCAAATGTATCTCTGAATTAACTCTTGTTTTCAAATTAAGGAAAGTTTTCGGAGATGCATCTCTGAACAAGTTCAATGTATATATATATATATATATATATATATATATATATATATATATATATATATATATATATATATATATATATATATATATATATATATATATATAACGCGCATCAGACTCTCCCTTTCATCCTTCTTCATTTTCTAAAACTTTTTCATCCTCCAAAAGAGCTCGTAAGTAACATTGTTCTAGTCAATTTTCAAACAACAAAAGTACCTCCTACTTCAATCTTTTCAATCTCAACTCATTTCACATACTACATTCAATATTGTTCATCCTCGTCAACACTTTTTTGAGTAATTTTGTCATTTAATTTTTTCTTACTTTTGATATTTGTATTAGGTAACATAGTTTATTTTTAATGTATTAGGTAGTATAGATTTCGAAATAGGTAATGTTACAAACATGCACTGTGATTTGATTGCATTTTAGGTTGTTAGGGTAAGAGTGGTAATTGTCTTTGCCATTGAAGTAAAATACAAGCTTTTTTGCATCTTTGAATTCAGTCATTTCTGTTTTTTGGAGATGCATCTCTGGATTTGGTCCTTTCGGTTATAGAATTGCAAACTAATGTCTTTTTCTCGTTTTTTCCAGAAAAATAGTTGCAAACAATGACGATTGAATGAGACTTGAATGTGAAATCCAACACGTGTTTGTTCGCTACGAGAGGGCTAGACTTCAAAATGAGCAGGCTAGAGCTAGGCGGAGAATCATCCATAGGCCTCATGACAGGGAAACATTGAGTTCTAAGGATCGTCTATCACAGGGGTTTTTATCTCAGGGGCATGTCTCCCTTGCTTACGTAGACTAATGGGAAACTCCTACTGTACATGGTAATGTCCCTCCACTTGCAGACTTTTATCCACGAGGGCCCTTTGGCACATTCTTACTTATATATTGTAGATATCATATTTCTCAACATGTTTGGGCCAGAGAGGTATATTTGTTAACGATTGTTATTTTTCTATTTAACCAAGTTCAATGCGGCTGATATTGTTATATTTTATTTTTAACAGGAGTGTGATTGTTTGAAGTATGTTAACCATAGCAAAAAGATTTACAATCTTTATCAGCCTAAGGATGAGTGATTCTAAAGTGCCATCAAATACTCTGGTCTTACTGGTATGCATTCTTCCAGGTACAAGGCCATCAACACTGGCATGCAGGGGGCTTTTACTAAGAGATGGAATAAGGAACTATCATCTTTTTACTTCCCCATTAACGAGATGACGATTACACTAGATGATGACACTTGCCTTATACACCTTCCCATCAGGGGGAAGTTATTTGATCATTCCAGCATCAAACACGATAAGGCTTAAGAGATGATGGTCATTTATATGGGACTTGACCCAATGGGGGCCCTTATGCAGTGTGAGAACACCAGAGGTGTCAATGCCAATTTTTCATACTTGATTGAGCTTTATGAACAAAACTTGAGTTGGTCGGTGATGCCGACAGTGATGAACTACATGTTACCTACCATTGGGAGTGTACTTTGAGGTGTTTCTTCCTATTCTTGGTTGGTGTAACGCCCCAGACTGCTTTCGAAATTACCAATTGACCTCACAAACCAACACAAGTCTGTTGCAGTTGATCTGAATCAGATTTTGTACATGATTCAAATCACGGGGTCTTTGATTCAAATCATTGAACTTGATTTGAATCAAGCGAGAAATAGGTTAAAAATTGGATTTCCTTTTATTCCATTCACTTTCCTATTTGACTCAAATCATGCATTATTCTTAATTCGAATATAACCATCTTTTACCACTTATTTTTATACTTAATCTCAAGCACATATAAAACCTTTTCTCAACACTTTTTATGTAACAAATTTCATAATCATTTTATGATTTTTTGTGAAATCAACTCTCTCATTTTTGAAAAAAGTTCAAAACTCTTGCATTCAAATTTCTTTCTTCTTCAACCTCAATTTTGTTTTCAAATCTTGATAATTAGAGATATGTGGTTGGTTGGGGAAGATATTTTCTTTAAACTAACTGTTCTTAAAGATTGGGTAAAGAATTCCAGGTTCTTGTAAGATTGAGGAGTTGTCATTGGTGTTGACAAATTTTATGTGAAAAGAAGGAGGTTCTTATTTCCAAATTTCCTTAGTAGTAGTTGTGTGGAAGGCAAGGAATTAGATAGAGTTCTTCTTGGACCTTCCGACATTTCAACGCTCAAGAAATCACTAGGATCAAAGGCTTGATTTCTACATACGAAGACTTGAGGAAAAATTAATGATATTGGAAGATTTAGAAGCGTTAATCGAGTAAAGATTGCGCATAAGAATTTGGTGTAAAGCTGTATACCAGTCAAAATCCAGATAGAATTTTTTTTCTTTAGTATTATTATAGACTAGTGATTGTATAAACCCTTGGAATATTTGTCAAAATAAAATTGAGCTATGCAGGTTCCAATAGGAAACCAGTGAAGAGTGCATGTAGGCAAAGCAAGGACGAACACCGAAGAACTATAAATCTCAGTGTTCTATCTCTCTCTCTCTCTCTCTCTCTCTCTCTCTCTCTCTCTCTCTCGTGCGCGCGCATTTAAATTTCGTAGAATATTGCATGCTTAGGTTTTCACTTGTTAGAGTATTTTATCGTTTATTCGATTGATAGTGATTTATTGCTTAAGATTAGGTTTTTTTGGAATTGGTACCTAATCAAGCTTTAGTGGTGATTAAGATGTGAAAAACTTGTTGAGTTTAGAATTTTCAAATTGAATCATTTCATAATCACTTCTCGTGAATTATACAATTTGTATCAATTGAATACCTTGTATATCATCATTAGTTCAATTTGTAATATTTGTGAAGTGATTAAGTGATTACGAGGTTTAAATTTAATTCAGGTATAATTCACCCTTTTTTGCTCTAAACATTTCCGCGTACATACTCTGAAAACCTCTGATAATTAATTTATGAAAATCATTTGAATTTATTTTAAAAGTCTATTCACACCCTAGACTATTTTCTTACACCATATTCTCACCCAACATCTATATCATAGATTGTGGAAGGCTTTAATTGGATAACAGAAGTTTGATATTTCTCCTAAGCCTTTAGTCGAGGATGAAGTTTATAAAGGAAAAGAACACATTAATGTTGTCTTTGGAAATAATTAAAAAGGTCCTGTTGAAAAAATATTGGAAAAAGAGGTCGGTGTTCTTTTATCTTCGGTATTGGTTTAGCCTCGAGGTAAGACATTATCTTGATGTGATGCATGTAGAGAAAAATATGTGTGATAGTTTGATTGGAACAATTATAAAAATTCAAGGTAAGACTAAAGATAGTACGAATTCCTGTCTAGATATGACAGTGATGGGTATACAAATATAGTTATCTCTAGAAGAATTAGGAAAAAGAACTTACTTGCCTCCGATATGTCCCACTCTATCTAAAAAGGAAAAGAAAAGTTTTTGTGAGTGTTTGCATGGTATCAAAGTTCCCCAAGGGTACTCATCAAACATTAAGAAACTTGTATCAATGAAATGTCTCAAGTTAATTGGCTTAAAATCTCATGATTGTCATGTCTTGATGCATCAACTTTTACTATTGGCTATACACTACTACGGAAAAGGGCTTTTAAAGCGCTTATTTTGGCCTTTAAAAGCGCTTAAAAGCGCTTTAATAGCTGGCGCTGGCGTAGGTAACAAAAGCGCTTCTAAAAGCGCTCTGGTAGACCCCCCCTTTAAGAGAGCTTTCCTGGAAAAAGCGCTCTGGTAGGACCCCCTATAAGAGCGCTTTCCTGGAAAAAGGGCTCTGGTAGACCCCCCTTTAAGAGCGCTTTTCCCAGAAAGCGCTGCCAAAGACCAGTAAAAAAGCATAAAAAATTAAAAAAAAAACGCAGCATACAAAAGCGCTTTTGGAAAAGCGCTCTGGTAGGCCCCCCTATGAGAGCGCTTTTTCTGGAAAAAGCGCTCTGATAGGCCCCCCTATAAGAGCGCTTTTCCAAAAGCGCTTTTGTATGCTGCGTTTTTTTTTTAATTTTTTATGCTTTTTTACTGGTCTTTGGCAGCGCTTTTACTAAGAAGCGCTTTAGTAGGTGGACCTTTAAGAGCGCTTTTTAAAAGCGCTGTCGTTTCTAAATGAGGTATTTTTATGTGCAGCCTATAATTTAATCCTCCCAGTCGACCTGTAATGTTTTCGACCTGTAATATTTTCGACCTGTAATATATTTTTGACCTGTAATATATTTTCGACGCTATTATTTCAGCCATCAGTAAGACAATATATATACTAATATAATACCATTATAATATCCAAAATTATATATATACATCATTACATCAATAATATTATAGTTCAAATCGACACAAATCCTACATGAAAAATTGCTTAATATAATATTGACACAAATCTTCTTTAATTTCTTCCAACTTAAGCTTCGGGTACCCAGCAGCACGGAATTCGTCAAGGTACTACAAAACAAAAACATAATATAAATGATATAT